TATTTGCAAATCAGAAAAAAATGAAGAGGCGAATCCGTTAACCAAGAAATTAAATTGGTGTGGCCTAAACTAATACGATTGCACTGTATTTCGTAAAATTGCACTGTATACTCTGGCACCCCCGTAACCACTGGACTATGCATGCTACAAGATAAAGTAGCTAGAAATTTATCCTTACCAGCCCTCCTACCGGGCACTGGTCCATCTATAACCATGACCTTGCATTACTGTCTTTATTACCAGGCCTGGAGTTGTGCCAGAGAGGGGAGGCCATGTTAAATCTCTCCTGACTACCTCATCAGTTTATCTTAAGTCTCTAATCATGTTGTTTGATGAGCAAATTCAGCCCATCATCCCACCATAATCCCGCGGCCCTGTGGGGATTACAGACCCTGCCCAGGTACTGCGGGATAGACGCACCAATTCTGGCAGGATCGACATTTCTGACGTGTTTCCAGTACTTTTAATTAACATGGTGTTAGGGGCTTAGCAAATGATGTGCAGCATGTAGAATAATTTTCATCATATCAGCTACTTGTACATGGTGTCAGCTCAAAATTGAACTAGAAATGGCAGGCATTGGACCAGGTACAATTATTTGTTGGCATGTTCTTTGGTGTTGCAAGCCCCCCCCCCCTGAAAAAAAAAACGCCGTTAGCTGCTCTTAAAAATAAATGCTGCCCCGCTAAGTCTATGGCAAATAATCATATGGCGAATAATGGTAAACTCACAGAAAAAGCAATATACACAGTCACTCACCAATTTTCTTTACTTATAAACTAGATTTTGAATTTGTTTTTTCATGACATAAATCCACTATAGCCAGGCATGCTACCTTCTGATGAATATTATGATTTGCATAATTATCATTTAATCCATACATAAAGTCCCTGGAGATTCTTGATGACTAAAAGTTGACAAATATTTAATGTGTTTATGGTAATAAGTTGACTGGTATGGTAATCTTAGTGATCATGACAGTATGTATCAGTGACGAGCATGAAATGTTTTTGTAAGTGTAAACGGGCCTGACAACCAGCGGGCTGCAACTATGCTGTCTTTCATAAATAAACCATTCTATTATGTTAAAACAAAATTGGTTACATGTACATGTATAAACAGCTTGAAATACATTGAGAAAAGCCTGAAGAATTTTAAGGCTTCCATTTATCAATCTGGTATTGTGGTCTTTGACTTAAGCAACAGCACTTTACAGATAACTTGTTACACACAACTAAAAACAAGTCACAGTTCTTTAAGATTTTGTTATGATAGTCTTGCTTTGAAAAAGTCTTCACAGCATTATGGTAGCATGTTGGCTTAATGTACTGCGCCTGCGGCAAACCTGTAATGTATTACGGGTAGCGCTTTAAAATTCTTAAAGGTTATATTCGTGTATTTAACAATAGTATCTATAGTTTTCAAATGTTGTTTGGAAAAGATATCCTCTATAACAGGTAAAATTCTTATGCAACTTTGACCAAGCTACACCTGTATATGCCATGCTATACCCAGTGCAATGGGAGCATTCCGCTAGAGGGTACAGCTGCTTCATCTTATCTTTTATGAGGATATGGGGGTATCCTTATACATGTATATGCTAGACGGGCCAGGTTTACAGCATGGCCTTTTCCATAAACCCAGACTGTACCAATACTTCACCCAAAGTAGAATATAGATGATTGTAAATACTAAGCTAGTTAGTAGGTGCTCACAGTTCCTGTACCTGAAGCATTCTGTGCTGTTTTTACATGTATTTGTACTTCCTGATGAAAAATTTGTCTCGGAAAACAGCTACAAACACATGTCCATCCTCTGTCACAGCCACCCCATGGGGCCGGGTCCGTTTGTCCCCATCAATGCTAATGGTGGATACCCAGGTGCCGTCTGAGCGGAACACCTGAAGCTTATTAAGCTTACTGTTGTCACCACCAGTGTTTGACAGAACTATGTTCCCCTTGCTGTCAGCTGACACCCCTATAGGGCTCCACATGTCCCATGGCTGTTTTCCCTCCTGACCAAACTTGTGCTTATAGTTCAGATTCTTGTCAAACACCTGAACACGGTTATTGCGTTTATCTGACACAATGATGTTGTCCTCTTTATCCACACAGACACACCATGGCTCAGCAAACTGCCCCTCCCCCTCCCCAAGCCCTCCCACCTGTTTCACCAGTGTCCCATCTGCCTCAAACAGGAAGACGCCGTGTTTCATGTGGTCACTTACAACAACCCTGCCATCTCTCTGTACTGCCAGACTGAAGGGAAATGTGAATATTTCACAAGAGGGAATCTATGCAGCAGTTTTCCTGCTGGGGAAAATTTCTTCACTTCATATGCAGGGGTCACCAGTATCGTGCCATCAGTCTGAACTGCAAGTCCTGAAGGGTAAAAAGCACCAAACGAATGACAGAACTTTCCGCTAAGATCAAATACCTGAACACAACAGTTAAGATTATCAGCCACATACAGCCTGTCCCCCCTGACTTCTACATCTGCAGGCAGGCTAAACTGCCCCTGCTGGCTCCCACAAGCGTAGTGATCATCAACCAAATGTGGCCTGTACCAACCGGCTGATATATCTAAAGCACTGCACTGCCCCTGCTGGCTGCTGTTCTGCCCAAAGCTCAGTACTGGGTGGTTACTGTCCACATCTACAGTGAGAGAGCCCAGATCCTTCATAACCCCCATAACTTCTGGAGATTTCTGCTCTTCTGGAGGTTTCTGCCCTTCTCCTGGAGGTTTCTGCTCTTCTCCTGGAGTAAGACAGTATTGATGGAAACTCATGGTTTAGTATACATGTACATGTATATGGCCACAGCAAGTAACTTGAATTGATGACGTCCTCCGCAGACTCCAAATCTAATGTGATAGGGGGGGAAAAAAAAAGGCAGGCAAAAAACCCCCGAAATCCCAACATTTTCAATTTTTGACATCATAAACCTTGTTAAAAAGAAATGATACCTAATCGTATATTGTGCTAAGTTTACAGCCAGCTATTAAAACATTCATTTCTCACTGAAAACAGCTATGAAAAATAAAAGTTTTCAATCATAATGTAAAAATGGTTTTGATTCAGTGGGAGCATCACATATACACACACAGCCATTATCACATATAAAAGGAATGAAGGTATCACTGGACACTGCGTCAGAGTTAAAGACAAAACAATAAATCAGAGCCTTGTAAAGTCTCCTCTCTTCCTATTTATTTGCCATCCATGTTCTGGCATGGCAACAGACGTCTTTTGCCATTTTTGGCATGTTGACCACCGTCAGAGGGGAACAAAATGTCTTTTTTTTCCAAAATCAGGCGAAAATCAATGTGCACAGTGATGCCATCCATAAAAATTACTTGCTGTGGCCTATAACGTTATATACATACATGTATGGTAACTTGAAGACATAGTTGGTAACTTGAAAACACTATAAATACAGGCAGATCGACTATAAATCTGGCAATCTACAGAATTCCTTGGGTCCAGGCTTTACATTTTTAATGAAACAACGTCAGAATCTGTTTCTGTACAACAGTATTTCGTATGTTTTATGTACTTTATTAGTCTGTTCCGTTTCTTTTATCATTACCCTTTGATTGTACTTAAGTTACCTTTTATTATGTTATGTATGTCACAGGGAGCTGTCACATGATATGCTAACCTGTATAAATAAATGAAATGAAACAGTTACCTTTGGCAGCCATGTTTGACGTCTACAATTCCAGTCTAGTTCTGGCAGCAGAAGACAAGCATGCAGCAATCCTGGAGAAAAAATATACCAATTTCAGCAAAGGTCTAGAAAAATTAGAGGGAAACAACTACAGGGCACAACATTTTCTGACATTTTGATGTTTCATGAGATTTAGAAATTTTTGTACAGTGAATATAGAAGAACTTTATTGACACAACAAAAAGTACAGCAACTTTCGTAAGGTCTAAGACATGTAGATATACAGACAAATATACATGGGTACAATGAAAATATGCTACGTACAGAACAATAGGTGGGTCAACTAATACTACTTGTTCTAAGGTTTAAACATTCTTTGATATATTTACCTATTTGTACACAGTAAGGGTTATTACTCCGTGAAGGAGGTCAGGACCTCCGGACGGAGTGTTGTGATCGGCTGATTTTTCATGTTCGCAGTCAAAACACTGGGTTCTCTTTGTGTAATCGGCACGCAATTTTATACGCCGTCTGCGGGCATGCCCGTGTTGATGCACGAATGTGTATTTTTGCCGTTGCTGCTTTCGCGGTCAATGTAATATCGCAGACGCACCCCTACAATTACGAGGCGAATTGGAATGGTCCAGAAAAACGCGTTGTTTGGAATAGCAGTGGGGGGGGGTAAAAGTTCATGC